TTACATTCTCTAAGTGATGGGTAGAAAATTGCAGTGAATTACGCTTATGGCAAAGCTGAGATGACATCCCCCCCCTGGAGGAGGCGTTACCAAAGGAGTGGCACGAATGACAGCTGATCGGTGCTAGGGATGCATTCCTCTCTCACCTTCAGCCTCCAGTCTTGATAGTGTGCAGGGTGGGAGCTGATAGCTGCTTGGGATGGAGGCGTGCTGCCGGAGGCGTGGGCAGGGCAGAGGTACCCCTGCGTGGGGCAGCTTGCAACCCTCCTGTGTTTTAGCATGTAAACCTGCTGAAATAAGCGGGTAATGGTGGCAAAATCATAATGCTTCCTATCAGCAGGTATGAAAACGTGTATTAGATGTAATTTAAAACAGCTTTGTTCTTCCTGATGAACTGACAGTAAAATAAATGTACCATTTTTGATGGAGAAAAATGCTTCTTAGAAGAGGCTTATCAACCTCGAGCGATGAAGAGGGAAAGCGGGTCCCTTTTAGCTGTGAAACCTTGATAGCGACTAAGTGGAAGGAACTTGATGTTCTTGCCTTGGTGTGGTATGCTCTACTGCAGCAGTCCTCAGGCTTCAAAACACGTGGCTTTTCACCTGGGCTTGAGCTTGAACAGGTTTGAACCCTTAGCTCCCATACCCCAGGTGGGCGTTCAGACCATGCTGCGAGGCTGTGCTCTGGGCAAGAGTGCTTGCCACCATCCTGCTGACACCAGGCTGCAACCAGCCACGAGGCCAGAGAGGAGGTAGGAAAGGCAGGACCTACCCATAGCTTCGCGGTCGGGCCGCTGCTCCCAGCACAGTTTCTGCTCTCCTGTCCCTGCTAAGGGCAATGAAATGTAAAATGTTACAAGGCATGGGGAGGAGGCTCCCAGATCTGCCCCATCCTGGGGGGGAAGCTGAGCTGGCAAGCATGGGGCATGTGCAGACCTGCATGAGCTGAGCTCCTGCGGTGCAGAGCTCCCAACCAAGGGGAGGGGATCAGATGCAGCCAGCACGGTTTGCTGGCAGGGGAGTTTAAACCAGGGGTGAAGGCCTGGATTTGTCTGTCAGTTTTCCTTACAGCCAGCTTGTGCACTCTCTCTTGCATTGCTGTCCTTTTTAAGGATGTTAATTTGAAAAAAACAAAAGCCAACAAACTAAATTGGAAACCTGAACTAAGTGCCATTTGCTGTGTATGTTCTACAAGTCCAGCGTCTGCAAATAATCCATACATTTGAGTGAAGAAGGGTACTTGCAGTCCTCGTATTGATATCCTGCTTGCTTACTGTTACTGAAACACTTCCAGTGCTAATTACATTTTCTCTTGAAATGTGTGAGTGCCTTTAGAGTGGGGTGAGTAACGTGCACCAAACTCCAACTGATTTCTTTCTCTTCCTGCTAGTAGCTGGAAGTGTAAATGATTACCAAGGTGATGTACGGCTTTGCTCGGCTTTGAGCATTATGTTAATTTTAATTGTATTGATCTTTCAGGGTGACTGTGCACAAAAATAAATGGTGTTTCTTCAAAGTAATCGGGAATCGTCTTAAAGAGTGAGAAAGTATCACTCTCCCGCTCTGCAGAGCAGACGCGACATGGGACCTTCTGGCATGGTCATCTCGCCAGGTCTTGGCGTGATCTCTGAACCCTACCATTTTTAATTAGTTCCTTTTATGATGGCAGTGTTGAGGGTACTGTGATCCTGACTGATTAATTCATCAGTCCCACAGTTTCTGTGGGAAACTATTCTTTTCATTACAGACAACGTTTTCAAGGCAGGAAATGAGTTTGCTGCTTGCTTTAATAACGTGCACAAGGCTTATTTCTTTCTCTTTGCATGGAGAGATTATATATTAAGCTAGTGAATGTAGCCTTGTGTAACATTCACATTTTTGTTAAGACATAAAATAATCACAGGGGTGCCACACTTACAAACGTTACAAAATATAAATAGTGCTCTTTTATAGATAAACTTTTCATTGGTTTTACAAGATGATACTGCTTAAGGACTTTTAATGTTCTGTCATCTCAATTTAATTTTTCTCTTTTAATGAAGAATTGCCTCTGCCACGGTTTATGGCGCTGAAAAATGATGGCGAAGTACGTTATGGGACTCCAGCAGAACTCCATGGAGTTAAATTTCAGGTTCCACATGCAACTTCGGAAAAAAATTCCTACAAAAGAACAGATGAAGGGGACAAACAGGTAACAGGCTTGTCTCCTTCAGGCCAATATGTCGTTATGCATCCTCCTTTTGGGTCCAGTCCTGTAAATGATTCCACTCACGTGGGCTTACTCAGTTTTGCGGTACTATACAGGAGATGAACTCCTGACATGCAAATAAACTCCATCGGGGCCGTGCTCTGCTCGTTTTGATACAACCCAGTTGCATCCTTGAAGGGAGTTTCTCTATAAAGCTTGTATAAAGCTGTTGGCCCTGTAATATTCTGAATAAATTCTTTCAATGTTGTCTTCCTACTTAGTCCAGCACTGTTTCTTGGAGAGGACTAGGGATGAAGGAGCAAATAGAAATCTGTCTGTGAATCAGAAGAGGAAACCAAGCGATTTCTCATGGCCAGTGTGATCCTTAGTCACTACAGAAATACTCAACTGGAGAAAAGGTGTTGAATCATGAGCCATTATTTCTGGGGGGGATAAGGCCACCAGATTTTCTTCCATTCTAATCTGCCCCGGGAGTAGTCCAGAAGAAACCTGCTTTTCTTTTGTCCTCAGTGAAGCATCGTCCCAATGCCTGTTGTTCTGAGTTGCCAATTTAATAAAGCTCTCTAAGGGAGATTTGTGTTACCTGTATTTAGGAGAGCTGAGAGTGCTTATTCAGGCACAGCACAACCTTGATGTTCATGGTTTTCCCCAGGCCTGGCGCCTTCTCTTCTGGTACCATATCAGGTCATGCTGCAAATGCCTGGTGGCAGGCGCTTTATCTTCCCACAAGGTGCGCACGCATTTATCACATGGTGCATTGGCGTGGGTAACGGTGTTCCCGGCCTGAGGTCAACCAACAGGAATGAGCTGATGACACGATACATGGGTGGAATAACAGGATGAGGAAGAGGAGTGTGTGCGCCTATCTGCCTGTGTGTACTGACACTGAAGCAGAACGCTGCCCTCAAACCTCTGGCTTCATCTAGGTTATCCATGTTGTGTTATATTTTCCTTCTTACACAGTAAACTGTTCCGGGATCACATCCTCTTCTTAAACAATCTGTAAGTCAAGGTAAAGGGAACACTGTAGGATAGATACCCAGTAACGCCTACAAATCTGGAGAGTGCTTAAAATACCAATTCAGAGATTTATTTTAACTTTTTGTAAGTGTTTTATATGAAAAAAGCTCTCCCACAAAGAATGCACTCACCCTAAGTAAATGTGTTCTGTAAATTCAAAGATACCCGCACAGGTTAAGCATTCTACTTACTTCTTCAGGCATCTTTTGGAAGTAAAATACCGTAAGCTGTAAAGCTTTGCTATGGCATTGCCATGCTTTACCCCTGGAAGGCTCAATACTAGATCCTGTCTTGCCCAGCTTTTTTTTTTTTAAGGAGCCCTGTCTCGGAAATAAAGGGCCTCAGAGGACTACAGCGTTTGCCTTTTCTTTGTCCATACTGCTGTATGCGTTCAGATTGCCATGCAGGATTCCTTGCTTGTTTTGCTGTCGTCTCAGAATTCCATTTTGTGTTGGTGTGTTTTTGAAATAGGAACCCAAGTCTCCACCAATGTCTCCAATCTGCTCACCTCCTGCTTCTCCATCTACTTACCAGAGAATACCCTTAAGTTATGGATATGGTAAATCAAGAAGTGGGCTGGAGCAGCAGCATGGAGGTAAAAATCGGGATGTGCACATTGTATTCAATTCTTTTTTTTTTTTTTTCAGAAGCATCCAAATTTCAAATGCAACTGACAATCAGCCTCATGATTTTAACATTTAACTAGACCTGTATTTTGGAAAACGATTCAATCATCCGATTTTATTTTAATTGTTCAATCCTGTTTGCTTTCTGGTAAATTAGTTAGATTTATGTATGGCTGCTCACAGATAAATGCTAATACCTAATCTCTGACAAGACTACGTGTAATATATCCCAATGACAGTGTCTGTAAGTGTTTTCAGAGTGTGTGATGCTTTTGGTTTCATTAGAGAGGAAGAAAAGCCAACTCCTGATTTCACTAGCTGCTATATTAGTTTTCAGATTGGCAGTGAACCCTCCTTTGCAGGAAAGGGTAATAATCTCTCTGGTTTTGTAATGGAAATAACAATAGGACATGAAGATAAAAACAGTCCCACAATGTAGCTTGGGTGAAACAGGCAAAAATAAGTCACTGCATAGATGCTCCGTCCTTGATATCACTGCCATTAGAGTAGGTGGCAAAACATTCTGATTTTAGCAAGAGGGTAGTGGGGCAGAAGCAAGTTTTACTAAGGCTTTGCAAGCTCCTGCTGATAGTAAGTTGCCTGTGCTCTCCTAATTGCAGCATGTGGTGACAAAGATGGTGGCAATTAGTAGGCATTGGTGTGTACCATCCCTCCATCATCCCCCCTCCTTCTGGTTAGTGGTTTTGCAGCGAGGGATGAGTGGAGCATGCTAGTCCTTTAGCTGTTCTCCTCGTTTACAAATGAGTGAAAAAAACAGAGCTATTACAACATTTTGAAACTCACTGCAGTCATGACAAGAATGTGTTCAACACTATCAAGTGGCCTTCACGTGAAAATCATACCAGTGCTGAGTCACAGCCATTCATTTGCCGGTTAGCTAAACTGCTGTTTGTTCAGAGATGGGATTTTTACCCACCCCCCCCCTTGGCATAACTGATCAAACCAGTGATGGTTGACTTCTGAAATAAGCAACACTAGCGAGGCTGTCTTCTGGGCCCCTCACTACAGGAAAGACATTGCATTGCTGGAACATGTCCAGAGAAGGGCAACAAAGCTGGTGATGGTCTGGAGCACAAGTCTGATGAGGAGCGGCTGAGGGAACTGGGGTTGTTTAGTCTGGAGAAGAGGAGGCTGAGGGGAGACCTGATCGCCCTCTACAGCTGCCTGACAGGAGGCTGTAGCGAGGTGGGGGTCGGCCTCTTCTCCCTGGTAATGGGCTTAGGGACATGGTTTAGTGGTGGGATGGCAGGGTTAGGTTAATGGTTGGACTTGATGATCTTAAAAATCTTTTCCAACCTAAACAATTCTATGATTCTATGACCCACATTCTTCTCCAGTGAGAAGACCATGTGGCAGGTAGCCCACACCCCAAAGAGCTCGGCAGGAGGTGACCATCGGGAGCAGCCAACTGTGTTACATGTTTTGCTCTCTGCTGTTTCCTGGGACTCTGTCCCAGGTCTGTCAGTATTATGGGGTGGGGTTATTTAGGGTTCTGTTGTTTTTCTTTTTTCCCTCTGAATTTGGTTGCAGTCATAACTTTAGTGAAATTTCTCATGGAGTCAGTGGCTGTGCAAAGTGAGTAGAGGCAGCAGCGTCCAATCCAGCTGCCAGCTTCTTCTAAAATTAGTAATTCAAATGCTTGAATTTTTAAGGTGATAAAATCCTAGAGGTGTAGAACATTATGGTTATTTTCCAGAATGGGAATCTCTCCTATTTTCCAGAAAAGAAATGTCTCCTATTTTAATCCCACTGGGGATACTTCAGCCAAATGCGTTCTTGGTGGCAGTAGGCAGGTAACATTTTATGGCCCATGCTCTACCAAGTGCCAGGCTTGGTGACCCGCTGGTTCTTCCTGGCCTTTAAGATTAGGACTCTTCCAGTTTTCTGAAGAGCACTCACAAGGGTGGGTCCGAAAGCCACTGCCTTCCTCCACACACAGGAGGTGGTAGGGGCACAGTGCGGAGCGGGGTGGGCTGTCCTGGGCTGCACGTCCGACCCTGAAACGGGACGGCGTGCCTTCGAGGGCAGCCCTTGGTGCTGCGACCATGGCTATTACTCTTCTTTTTTTTTTTTTTTCTTGATACATGTGGGCTTTTTTCCTGCTAGCAAATACACAGCAGTGTGGCCTTGTGCATAAATCACCTCTCCAAGGTTGTCTGTATGTTTCCCAACTTCCTTCCTGTGGTTTTTTTTCTTCTGAAATTAGAAGTTACTTGTACAGGAATAAAAATAGATACCAATAGAGGGTAAGACCACTCAGGAAAGCAAGAGGGTTAGGGGTAGAATTTTTAAGGTCTTCCTGAGCTCAAAATTTTTAAGATTCCTTGGTCTCACGTTTCATCAAGAGTTTTCTAAGTTCTGTCTTTCTAATGCAGACTGTCCTTGTAGTGTACGTTTTAAATACACTGGCAGCCGGGGTTCTCAGCTCTCTAAGGGTTTGCAAGTGAGTTGCCTTTGTGTTTGCATACTTGACCTATTTTTAAAAGATCGTTCTTAAACGTGCTGTTATGTCACCGCATACTGTATTTGCTGCAGTGGAATGTCAGTGACTTATTTTAGCAAAAGAAGAAGCAATTGTTACTTTTTTTTACTAACTTTACTCTGGATAATGCGAAGTGGTGAGCCATATATTTTGATTTTCAACAGAAATTAGGGAAGGGGGAAGAAGAGTATATGGAAACTTAGTGATTTACTGTTTGGTAGCACTGTCAAAGCATATATATTTCATATAGATATATTTTTTTTTTCAGCTCAGTTGAATTATTCTTACTTGTAATGCATTCTTGTGCTATATATGTCTATAAGTATATATAAAATGTATAAATAAACAGTCTAAGTAAATATCTATATTTTGACATGATGAACAATAATTTCTGTTATTCAGATAACTGATAGTTTCTATTGGTAATGTCTGAAGAAGAATGATGTAATGTGAAAGACAAGTATGTGGCTGGAATTGTGTTGCAGAAGACAAAATGGACTTTGATACTCTGGTACTAGGGTCACTTGTTAGATGTTTGACAAAATGGACTTTGATACTGTGATATGAGGTTCACAAGCTAGATTCTTGACCTTGTGGTGTTTCGTTATTTCCTTTAGCCAAGTAGAATCTTTTTGAGCATCCTTTCATTTATATACTTTATCCTTTCATTTATATACTTCATTTTAAATGTCTATAGCTCCTTATGAAGTCAGACACCTTACTCACCAGCAAGATGGATCATCATCAGGGAATTATGGAGCCAAACCTGCACTGGCCTGTTCAACTCTTAATCGGGTAATGAATTGCATGTTTTTCTTTCGTAGTACTACTAATAAAACAATAGAGAAATTAAAAAAAAGGCAGAAGAATTCTCACCTCAAAAGTAAAAAGTGTTATTCATGGTGTTTTTAGGCTAGAGACCGAAGTGTGCTTTTTTTAGTATATGAAAAAGGAAAAAAAAAAAAAGCTGATGGGAATGAGAAATTAAATTAAATAATCCAATTAATTAAATTGCTGAAGCTAAGTAGAATGAGTAACACCAAGTAGCATAGGTAGGAAAACTAGGCTGAGAATCTTCAATCAAAAGTAAAAAAAAAAAAATTAAAAAAATGAAGTTATTCTAGCAAAAGTAAAACATTTTCATGGAAAAATATGAGTTTTCACAGAGATTCCTGCTTGATTTAGAATGCAGTCTGTAACACATGCACAGAATTTATTGCTTAATATTCTGCGTATTCTGTTTTTTCACCCCAGTTGGTTAAATCACATCTCAAACAGAACAAATTAATTTCTCTATATTTGCTTGCTTTCATGAGATGGGTCCTGTGTTTTGCTGCTAGTTGCAAAAGCAGATCTTTCTGATGTTGCAGTATGCCTGCTGTGCACTGACTATGCAAAGAGGGAGTTTGCCCTGTGGAAGGACAAAGCTCTCCTGAGGGAGAACTTTTCCTAAATAAGTAAGACTCGGCAGAGACTCTGTACCTTTTCCCTGGTGCTTAGCACCCCACACCCATAATAAAATGTCACCTGAGCCTCAGGGAAGGATCCACAGGTAGTGTCACATAATTTGTGCTAACTTGACATGAAATTGGGTGCATTTGTGTAGCACTTTGAAATGAAAATTAACCTAGAGCTTTATGATGTTGCCTGTTTCTGGGCTCTTTTGATGTATTTCAGAACCGGTGTTCTGCATTTGATTCTTAGGAAATGGACGGGTATGTCAGAGAAAGGGTTGCGGAGCTGGTTGCAGCCTGATCATCGTTCACTCTTGCCCTCCCTTTTCAAGAGTGTTGCCATCCAGATTTAACATCCGGGCTTAAAACTCGAATACTAAGTCATTCCAGTTCAACAAAGGCGCTAACTGTGCCGGCAGCCCTCTTCTAGACGCCACCCCCAACCTCCCTTAAACAAGTCACTCAGGAAGCAAAGACATAAATGGATAAAATGTCCTTCTCCTCCAGAATATTCCTTTTTCCTGAAGGAGAATTTTTACCAAAACCATGGGAGGTGACAGGAGGTTGGGGAGGTCTGTAAGGGTTTTCGTGTCTCCCTGGCTTGGCCTGATGTGTGCAGGGTTCCCTGGGCGAGCTGAAGGTCCAGAAGCAGTAATAGCTCTGTAGTTGCAGCACCGCTCCTAGGCTACGTACACAGTTTTCTCAGCAGAGCTAAATTTTCATGAGTGATGCTGCATAAATACAGCTTTAGGTCCTTTGCTGGTTCCATCAGTTTGAGGTACAGAGTGTGCAGCTCAGGGTTGTAATGCATGGCAGCCAAAGTGAACCCCCAAAATGAAACCAGAGGTAGTAAGGTGTGACTTAGACTTTCCTTTTTGCCATCAGCAGCAGTAAGATTTCCTTTTTCTTTTAGCTTCAGTCATGTAAACTTCCATTAATTGCCTGGTTAAAGACACCAAACATTAGCCTCAGCTTCAACAGATTAAGTAGTGAGGCGGTAATCAGGGTGGCCGTTTCCATTTCTCATCTTCTTAAAATATGCATCTGCTAATAGAAGAGAGTGAATCTGGTTTCTGGAGGCTGCCAGCACCCTGCTTGGCCCTTCTGGTCCCCCCTGCCTGCTTGCGGCCGGTGCCAGTGTCCCCCCCTTCAGTCTCTTTCAGCGGAGCGGGAGCAGCAGGACAGCAACACCCACTACTCGGATGACCCTTGGAGGATAACGGAGGAGCAGCGAGACTACTACATCAACCAGTTCAGGTCCCTGCAGCCTGACCTGAATTCCTTTATTTCAGGTAATTTTTTACCAAACACTGCGCATGTCAAGTGGAGGGCCCAGGCTGAGAGGCGCAAAGTGTTAAGTAGATAAATTAATTATTTTTTTTCATCTCTGGAGTAAGTTTATGAGAAAGAATTGATTGCATTTTCTTTTTAAAGGCAGACAACTCAAAGAGTAAAGTAGTACTGTGGGCATTATGTTTTTTCCTAAATATCCTGATTATAGGAAAGTAATTACATCTAAGAGAGAAATGTTGTGATTCAGTAAAAATTGAGCTCTCACTCTAAGGCGTATTGAGATTGCATTTCCATCTGGACTAGGAAGATCAGGCTGCTCGTGAGGGGAGTCACAGTGGGTACAGGCAGTTGAGTTGATCTGGCAAGGAAGATGTCACAGGTTTTAAATTGAGGTGGTTTTTACTGAGCCCTGCTCTATTACTGGGGTTCAGGAGGCTCGGATCCAGCCAAGAGTTTAAATAAATTACCTGCTGCTGACAGAAATCCGTGCTTTCCTCGGTTAAGTTCCTTTAGTATAATTTGCTTGAAAGAGAAAATGGTTGTTCCACAACAAGGTATTTCCTCACAAACATATACATCTGTAACTGTGTATGTATGTATATATGAATATAAAGCCTCTCAGGTAGCTGTGCGTTTTCCTTTATGTTGAGCAAGATTCTCAGGCAGTCCTTCCGCATCCAAAATTACCATTTATAAATGATAAATTAGAGCTTCCACAGCATCCTAAAATAATTAAGCTGTAGAAATCTTTGCTGCAGGGTGATACAGATGCTAGAGGTTTGTCCAGGTTTAAGAAGTTGTTTGAGAAATCTGTGATTGAAAAATCTGTCAGAAGTTACTGAATGTTTAAGTGCTACCCCCTGGTTGAGCACGTTCCTGAATTGCAGGTGGTCAGAGGTTGGAGATATTCTGGAGCTACATTATTAGCACATGGCTTTGTCATGGTCACATAGTCCTCTCTTGGCATCTGGTGTTGGAGAGGACATGCTGCTCTCTTGGACCTGCCCCAGTTACAGCTTTTCTTACGCCCTGCAGTGGGTGATCTGACCTGAGTGCACAAGGGGAGGAGTAGTAGAGACTTCAGAAGTCTTGGCATTACGTTGTCTTACGTTTTGTAAGCCTATATCCAGAAGGGGCTTCCAGGGTACAGGGATCTTGTGCTACCACTATAGTCTGTGGGTATGGTATGGTGAAATAATGGATTTATTAGCAGGGAGAAGAATGAGAAGGGCTATTGTGGCAGGGTGGGTGAGGATGCCTGCAAGCAGGACAGTAGCTACATGCTATCTGAATCGCCTGTGGTTTTTTCTTGGTTTTTTGTTTTTTTTTTTCCATAACATTTGAGCCACTGCAGGGAACAGTCATGGTTGAAGCAGCAGCGTCTTGGGAGAGCAGAGCAGACGCCACAGCACTGTATTGCCACACACATGGCTTCTGGGTGAAGCAGAGCTGTTTGTGTCTGTTACTTCATTGTTGGTGACACGCTAATTATGCTAGTTAGAATCACTAGTACTAAAGCGTGTTTTCCTTTTATTTATTTTTCCCATATGGAGGCAATGGGAAAATGAGGTCAACAGCTCTGTCTGGCTTTCTCTCTCGCTTACCAAGAGACAAATGGCCCAAGAGCTATATTAGCATCCAGTTAATCTGAGCATCTCTCAGATGTAAAGTAACCACCTGCTTCTGGTGCAGCAGCCCTGGCCAAAGGTAAATAATTAGAGAAATAATTTCCAGTGGTTGACAAGGCATGGTTTCCGGCTCTTTACTTCGTGCTATCAGTTTCCACCCTGTTAATACTTGAAATGGGTTGGGGTTTGTTTTTTTTTTTTTTTTTTTTTTTAAAGGATGCTTAATTCAAGAGTTCTTGTTAAATTTTGAAAAGTGTCTTCAATTATAATCATTGCTCTTATCTCCAGAATCATGTTCAGGCCCAAGCAGCAGGGTGCTCATTGATCTTCCTGACACGCTTGTTTTCTGGAGAGGTGTTTGCCTGCTCGGCAGGACTGGGAAGGTTTGAGCAGCGATGTAACTGAGAGCTGTTCCCAAGTAATACTGCAAGCAGCATCATAAGCTCAACGGGCTGACGTTTGCCGTGAAACGACACTGAGGAGAGGCACCTCTGGAATGTTTTAGATGTGTTGTTGGTTTTATGCTTCTGGCTGTGATTTGTCAGAGGAGGCTTAATTAATGCCTAGTTTTTATCAAGTACAACTACATAATTCATCAGTGCTTTTCTAATGAACCAGCACACTTACTTTTAATGAGCTTATTTAGAAATGATTGCAGATGGAACTGTACATGATACAATTTGACAAGGATTCTATTATATTTTCATAAGCAACATGGTGCTTTGTAATTCAGTGTCATCCTTCCATCTCAGATAGGCAGAACAAACAGTTTTAAACGTTGATCAAAAATGCTGATGGAAGTTTTACTTTTATGTATGCTTTTATGGAGAGAGATGAGAAGAAAAGCTAGCTAGAGCCTAAACATCTGTCGGGGTCAAAGAATATGTCTGGAATCTTTTCAAAGCCGATTGTCAGTTGTGAAAATAAAAAATAAAAAAAAAAAACAACAACTAAAGAAGCATTGTGTTGGGGGAAGTGAATACTGGAATTTAAATTTAGGATTATTTAAGAGGAATGGATTAACCCAATATGTTAACAAAACTCATTTTATTTCTGGTGCTGACACAAGTTGTTCTCTGTGCAAAATTTAAAGAAAAGTATTCCTTTCTAGTAGGTAATTACAGTTTTGTGATATGTGATTTATCAGGTTGTGTCACTGTGTTAAACACGTGGGATGTTTCAGTCTTTGTTAGTATAACCTCAACAGCTTGAAAAATGCTCCTTGCTTTCAAAGAGGAGGAAGTTAAATGTTTATTCTAGTCCATGTGCTAATGATAAAATAGTACTTATTTCTTGCAAAACATTAATTTGTAAATTTGAATTCTTGACTTTCTGAAGTCCAGTTTTATTGACTGAGAAGCATCTTAGAATTAAAGACAGAACAGCTTTAGCGAGCAATTAACAATAATATTTAAACTTGTCAAAAGCATATATTTAGCTCTTTTTGTTGAGGCTAGTCACTGGTGCTGAGTAACTGTTTGCTGAAGTCCCTTTTTAACTTTTTCTGCTTGCACTGTTTAAAGTCCTGCATGGCTTAGCCAAAACTAGCTTCGAGTTCATTTCACCCTTGGAGATACAGGATATGTATTTCATGTTATAATATATCCATGCCATCATATTGTATGGCATGATAGATAACAAAAATATACTTTATTAAAAACGAAAAAAGCGACAAGTCAGTATTAGAGAATTAGCTTGCTTCATTTTTCCCAAGACAAATGTACAAGTTAGGAGCAAGTACAAATGACAGAGGTGCTTCTCCAGTATTAAAATACCCCTTCTCAAAGTCTCATTTCTGTCTCCCCATAATGCACACGTGTGTTTCCTTGAGGTAACAGCTTGGAAAACGTGTGTCTGTCGTACCCGCAGGGAGCTGAGCGATGTGGATTGTGATGGGGCGCTGACACTCCCGGAGTTTTGTGCTGCTTTCCACCTGGTGGTTGCGAGGAAGAACGGTTACCAGCTGCCAGAGACACTGCCCGAGACACTGCTGCCCGAGTACCTTCAAGCAGGTAATGTCCTCACGGCAGGTTGCGCTCCCGTAGCCACCTCGGGAACCCGACGCGCGTGTAAGACGGGTTTCGTTTTCCATCCTGCAGGTAGGATGGGGTTCTACACTGCATAGTGGTGCTCCGTTTGCTTTTTAACACGTGCATTTTTAATTGTGCTGACAAAGGGATGTATAAAAGCACAAAATAGCAATGCAAAATGTAGAGGTTACCTGCCCCTTAATGTCTGCCTCTTTGCTCCAGTGTGCTTCAGGTGTCATTACAGCAAAAATGGCAGGTGATTATCTTGTAGCAAAGGTAATCTAACAAGATTTACATGGCTTTTAACTCTTTTGATGATTTTCCCTTATGTACCTGTCTCTTGAAGATGTGTTGAAAATGATACTGGGTTGCTTTAGAACTTACTATGCTAATATATTTTGTTGGGTGCACTTGGTGGTTGTATCAAAGGTTGAATTTTTTTGTAATTCATTTTATTAATCCACAGATTCTTCTCTTAAGTAATCTGCAGTAATGACAGGGGGATTACAACAGTTTGTGTAGCATGAGGATAAATTAATCCAAAATACAACATATCTCAGTAACAATGTGCAGTTAGAGACCTGCCCTCTCATTTGTTCTCTTCAGTTATGGCTCTTGTAATTATAAATGAACATTGAAATATATACTGTTCCATGTAAAAAACATGCATGTCTTTCTAGGGCAAGGAGGATTAATCACAGATGATAATTACAGTGCTAAGGGATAATATTTAAGACCTAATAAAATCTCCATTAAATTTGATGACATTGAGTATATTAATAGACATGAAAAGAACAAATCAAGCTGTAGTTAGGAAAATTAAATGTTCACCTTGTATCAGATTTGTGAAGTCATTTCTGGTGGAGTCATGTTCCTTATAATCCACTATCTTCATATCCAAGGGGAGAAGCTCCTGTAAAACCTGCACCTCCAAGTCTTCATCACTTTAGTCTCTCTAATTACATTCCCTTGTTGTAATTACAACTACCCTTTTCCCTCCAGGACCACCACTTTGTTTTCAACTCACACCTGTTCTCATTATAAATTAGCTTGTAAGCTCCTCCATGCAGGTTCTTGTTGATGTGTCTTCACATTAAGCCTTTTTGGCTAAAACGGCAATGGAAATAACTAATCTCCAGTAGTAGGGGATCATTATGTCAATGGGAGGAAGAGCATGGTAAGCTGAGGTTGTTTCCTGGGAGTCCTCTTCTTCCCCAATTTGTCCTTTTCAGCCCTGGGGTCTCTACCATTTTCTTAGATAATTATCGTTTCCCATCAGTGCTGCACTGATCAAGCATTTCAAGCTGATGTACGCGGAAGAGGTGAAAGGACTGTTTGTTGCGGGCACTCCAAATACCTCAGCTAATCTGCTAATTCGGGTTAGCCCGAGGGTCTGAAAACCTCTCGTGCTTGTTCTGCTGCCTAGTCAGGAATCAGAAATCTTTCTTTTGAAAGACTTGGATCAATAAAAAGCAGAACATCTCCACACACTTAAGATGTGAATTACAAGGAAGCATAAAGCTCTGGTCATATCAACTTCTGAAATGAAAGCATTGATAAGTAAGCAAGTGCCTCATACACTTACCTAAATTGTCAAAAGAAATTTTCAAGAGAAACTTTTTGTTTTCATGTTTTCATAATTTGATCTCTGTGAGACTTAGATGATTTTTTTTTTTTTTTTTTTTTTTTTTGGCTTGTTAGGAACCCGATGACATTTACTGGAAACTGTTTTTCATTAGGTTGTTGTATTAGTTTCAGAATGAGGCAGAATTTGGTTCAAGTGAAGTACTTGCATCTGATAAGAGTGTTAAAGCTTCAAATAAAGTGACTTGGAGTATAAGACACAGCATTTCAGAATGAATTAATCTTGCTAGTTTTATGGCTTGTTCTATAAAATACAAGTGCAGGGCCAAAATCTATCCTGGCACAGCTCCATTGACAATTTGACCCAGCACCTTCTTTTCTGAAAGTTTTTATTACAACTAATTCATAGAATCTGTAAAGCTATTTGCCCTGTATGTAACCCGCTGTATTGTAAATTAAGACAGATTTGCAAGAGCTTAATTTATTCAGATAAACTAGATGCTAGCCAGAAAGAAGAAAAGTGACATGAGAACTGGTTATTCTGCCTTTCAATATATTGATTTGAAAGAAAAGCTGTTTTCCAGCTGTTAAGACAGATTTATCTCAGAGGAGCTAATCCCAGAGTGATATCAGCAGAAGGACATGAGCTTGTGGAATAGAAATGAAGTTCATGCGAATATTCCTGTGAGAAGTTAGAGCTGATACTTTTTTCCTTCCTCCCACTCCCTCCCCCCTCCATGCTCTTTAGTTAAAGAATGGTATATACTGCATCTACTGCGTTTAGTGTCCTTGCTTTTTGCTGGCCTTCAATCTTGATGTATAATGTGGATTCTACTATACTTTCCCGTATTCAAAATGTCAGAAATTGGAGTTGAAAGTTTAGTAAGTACCTTCAACATTCCTAAGACAGCAACTAAGTTGATACTGGGCTGTGAGGAGGAAAATTGCAAATAAACAGCTGTTGTTTGGCAGTTAATGTTTACTAGAAATAGCTTCTCCTAAATTTCACAGTTAGTTCTACAACAGAAATGAGCATGTTATCCCTTTTGTGACATGGAATTATTCAAAACACAGGACAAAGGTTTTCTGCATGGTGCTTGTCATCCATGGCTTATAGGTCAATTCTGATACGTAGAAATGAAGGGCAAAATGATGCTGGAACAGTTTTTTAGAACTGGGTATTAACCAAAGATTTGGCATGTCTGTCTCTTTTTTTTTTTTTCTTTCTTTTTTTCTGTTCTTTTTTTTTTTCTTTTTCTTTCCTTTCTTTTTTTTTCCTCCCCCTGCAGCTTCTCTAAAGCCCATGCGTGACTGCACACTATTTGATTCTTATTCTGAGCCATTGCCAGGCGGTCAGCAGACTCGGGACTTCAGTCGGACGGAGGTAAGGGGGCATAAGCAGGGATAGTTACCTTGCAGAGGAATAGCCCAGCTTCACAAGGACTGCGGTACATGTAGCAGCAGAACGGCGAATCTTTGAGAGGGCTTTCAGAGTCCCGAAGCGTACTGTTAACCCCCGTCAGCCCCCTCTCTCAGAAACTTGTTCAGTGTGTGGAAAGGGCTGACAAGATTTTTGGAAGATGTTCCCCCGTGACGGAGATCACAGTAGTCATTGTGGGACTCCAGCTGTCTGCAGTGTTGGGGCCTGCAGAGAAACACACCGTAGCTGTTCGTGTCCCAGGGGGCTGCATTTGGCCCTCTGGCGTTGGGAGTCAGTGACAAGGGACAGAGCCCATGCTGCAGGAGGGGCGGTGGGGCACAAGGACAGCACTCGGGTGAAATCTCTTCTTGATCTGAATTGGTCGAAAACGAAGGGTTTGGGTGCAGACCTCGTTCTAGCCAGGTATGCCTGATTGTGTAGCTCATGAGTTTTTTCCATTTACAGTGCTCCATTTCTATATTCGCTCCCCTGGTTGTGATGATGAGAAGAAAAATGTCTTGGCTTGTCCCGATTTCTTGTACTTTGCTTCTTTGGAGACTGAAACTATCCTACATTTTGTACAGGATGGACATGCATAGTTCTGTCCTAAGTGATTCAGTCTCCATTTTAATGTCCAGCCTTTTAGAATCATAGAATCATGGAATTGTTTAGGTTGGAAAAGACCATCAAGTCCAACCGTTAACCTAACCCTGCCATCCCACCACTAAACCATGGCCCTAAGTACCTCATCTGCCCAGCTTTTAAATACCTCCAGGGATGGGGACTTGACCACTTCCCTGGGCAGCCAATGCTTGACAACCCTTTCAGTGGAGAAATTTTTCCTAATTTTTCAAGACAGATGTAACCGTTTGGAGCTTCTTCACCTTTTAATTCTGTAGTATTTGCATTCTCATAGCTTAAGGAACTACCCATCTAAGGGTCTAGGTAGTAATTGTAAGGAGCTGAGAAGAGTGTTTTGAGGGAAGAATGGAGATCCATTGTAGCAATATCACAACAGATACCAGCCTTGTAATGGAAGGCTGTTGCAAGCAAAACTAAATTAAGGAGAAGCATTTATCACTGAGGTTAAAAAATGGAAACTTTAAAGATCCTGTAAAGCTGAACTAACCATGCCACTGAGTTGTGCCTGGGTATTGCAACTCTGAATATATACTCTGGGATTTCATAGAATCATAGAATGTTTTGGGTTGGAAGGGACCCCTAGAGGTCATCTAGTCCAACCACCCTGCAGTGAGCAGGGACACCGCTAACTGGCCCCCTCTCGGGGCAACCCCTTCCAGTGTTCCACCACCCTCGTTGTAAAGAATTCCTTCCTTATATTCAGTCTAAACCTACCCTGCTTCAGTTTAAAACCATTACCCCTTGTCCTTGTCCTGTCACAGCAGGCCTTGCTAAAAAGATTTTCCCCATCGTTCCTATAGGCTCCCTTTAAGTACTGAACTTAAGGTTTGATTTTAATAAATTGTAATTTAAGTCCTGATTTAAGGGTTTACTATTTAAGGTGGTGAAACAAATGGCAGGCTGACTGCAAGAACGGGCTCTTCTGACACTGCTTTTGAGTTAAAAAGCAATGGTATGTCATGTCAGCAAGGCTGTTCTCCAGTTATTTCCTCCCTATGCCTGGCTCTGGGGAGTTGCTGGGTCAGAACCCGTCTGTTCCCTCATCGCGTTTGGCTCGGTAGCGGCACCACCAGACTCTCCTAAGCTGCCACAGAGCGCAACGCTCACCGTGGGCAATGCTGCGGCCAGCACTCTGAGCATCCAGTTTATCTTCTGGAACTGCTAAAATACATGTGCCGCCTCCCCAGGCAGTACTGCTCTCTGTTACAGCAGTCTGGCCGAAGTGCAGCAGTCCCACGTTGCTGTCTTGGTAGCACGGGCCACTGCTACATTAGCGTAGGCAGGTCCTTCACTGTAGCAGAAGGGCCTTGTCCCTTGCAAATGGCCTTATTTTGGGAGGGTGGTTTGCAGGGGGCTGCGAGATTGTGCCTCAAGCCCTGCTGCGCTAGCACTTCTGCACTGTGCAGAGCCCCTTGTGAGTGTGCCTTGTTAGCATATGTGCATATCGGTTTGCAGTTTAAACAAGCGTAAGAGGCAAAATTCAAGGCGATTTGCGTTGAAAACTCATTCGCTGATGTCAGCGTGTGGATGTACGTACATACATGACTCCATTTCCAGACTGCAATAAGAGTGCACTGAGTGTTTGAGTTAACTCACCACTGCATCAGTATCAAAATATTGAGTATCGAAATATTTGTTTTCAAAGACAATTATTTGTCTTCCGCTGAAAAACTGTCACATCCCTGTTAGGATGTTTTTTTGTAGGTAGGCAAGACTCCTGAGTGTCAGCTTCTCTTTTTCACTTGCATTTTCATGTGCATATGCAAATACACATGTGTATATTAAAACAAGATAGAAATAGAATATCTAATTCAATTATATTAAAAATAAAAATGATTATCTATCTTTTATGCACATAATTAGAAAGCTTCAGTTTATGTAACTTCTTGACTTCAGGATCTACTTCAGTATTTCTCTGGCTTCGCGAGTGATTACCCAGATATGCAAAGTGGTCTTTGGCTATTGCAGAGTTGTGAGGAAGTTTGCACTTTAGTAGCACAGGCGTCGGGACTGTGAGATCAGAACGCTCTTTTATGTATTTCAGAAAGATCAGAAATCTTGCTTTCAGAGTCATCTTGTGTTTCTTAGAAATAAAATTTCAGTAACCTAACCAGTACGGTTTTAGAATCTGATTAAATGTCTGTTTTTTAGGCTCTGCTCGTTTGTGGCCCTTGAATGTATGTGCAGAGTAAGGATAAATCTAGAAGGAGATAATTTCCTGAGCAATTACATTGTATGGTTTTTTGCTTTTTAGATTTTTCTGCTGCAGTGGAGATGATAATAGTAGGAATATTATAGCAATAATTAAATAGCTGTAGAGAGAATACAGCACAAAGTGTAAAAAACCCAAACAAGCAACAAGTCCCCCATTTTATGTTTAATTTTTAATTTGATTTTCAGCATTTAAGCTTTCAGACCTCTTCTGCCTGATCTCTGCATGCTCCTCCTTGAGACGTTCTCACCATAGCTGCCAGTACCTTGCTGTACTGTGCTGCACGTCAGATCGTGTTCTTGGGGGGACAGCTGGATCTTCTGCTCCATTCCTAGGTTCTGCAAGGTGGCAGGATGTTCTGCAAAATCAGGGTGGTTTTTTTCATAGCTAGGTTGAAGAAAGAAGAATCTGCAGCATGGTTGCCTGCTGGCTAAGCACAGATAGTGTTACCCAACTGTGTCACAACTGTTTGACTGGTTTTGCTCCATGTCTTCAGTGTCTGGGTACTAGGCATGTAGGGCAAAGCTCTCAATTAATGTGTTTCAGGGCCTTGTTATTTTGGTCCTTTGTTGTCCAAGATTAATGGACTATAAAATCTCTTCTCAAAACTGATTTGAGAATGATTTTTACTTGATTTTTTTTTTTTGTTCAACTAATGGTTTTATGTGCAGAATTGATACCCTGAGTATCATTTGGAAGGTCGGTCATTCATCTCCCTCTGTGGGAAATGCAGTAATTCACTATTGCAATTTAATTTGTAGCTTGGCTACTTGAGGAAATATAGTTTAGATACTTGATCACTACATTAAAAATATTATATTATCAATGCAATCAGTTATGCATTATCTCCACGTCTTTGTCTCTTTCCACCTATCATCCATTCAGGCTCTTACTTAATTTCAGAAGACCATTTTTACCGTGACTGCTGAACTACAGTACTGCAATACAATGGAAACAGTTCTTTAATGCATCCATAAAGAAAATAATGGCAGGAGACAGGTCACCTGAATGCTGGGCTTTGTTGAACTTACAAAACATGCAAAGACTGCTAATGTTATACTTGAGAACAAGAGTGACTGCTTTTTGTTAACCAAGGAAGTTTTGTCTTCCCATATTTTTTCTCATGTTTTTGTCTCCCACTCTGGTTCTGGTCTGTCTTTTCCTTTTTTTAAAAAAATTTTTCTTTTTTTTCTTTTCCATTGCTTTGGCTTTTTTCCACAAGCTTTCTCGCTGCCAAAAGCTTAAAGATAAGACACAAGATTTCACACTAGATGCATAAAATGAGTGGCTGGGGCTGCTCTAAACTCCTTCAGAAATGTCATGCTTACAGTTCATTGAAATATGTGAGAGTCATTCCGTTGATTCAAGCATGCACTGAGTTAGGTCTTTACTGATGCTCTTCAGAGTGTCAGGACTAGCTAGGGATGTGAAGTGTTTTGTTTTAACATTTTCAGAGTCCTCAAGTTGTATTTTTGCTATGCTGCTTCCTCAGAAGTGCTAGGGAATCCCACGTGCAACTTTATAAAATAGATCTCATTGCCCTTTACTCTCTTGAATGGCCTTCTTGAATGACTGACTTGAGATTTTGTTTGCTTTTTTTTTTAATGTCTGCAAAATCTGTATTTCTGAATTTTATTTTTTTTTAGGCCCAATGGATTGTAACATCTTCTATGCTCCCTGAGAAAACACAGCATCACTTAATATTTAGGGAAGCTTGGGGTTTCTGACATTTGCTTTATTGTTGTTTTGGCTGCGGAGTATATCCTTGTTCTTACAGATAACGGTAGCAGAATTTGTTCCTGGTTCCTTCTTGTGAGTTACGCAGAGGAAGTTACAAGAACCACAAATGCCTGGATTATAAGTTGCTGCGGAAATAAAGGTTAAGGAATAAGACTGAGGAGAAGTTCCCTGTTTTCCCATCAGAGACCTGAATGGGCCTCCAGCAGACATGCTGATGAAATTTCTTTTTCCCATCTCAATGACTGCATGTTGAAAGAGAAGAGTAGTCCAAGGATCAGCCACCTCAGCTGGAAGACTTTAGATGCAGAACTACTAGGCTCTGCAGTACGGCTTGGGTTTTGGCTAGGAAGACAGTTGTGATGGCGGCTGACTCTTGTGAAGGGGCTGGAGGTTTCCTCAACCCTAACACAGGCGGTACACCCAAGAAGAAAACGTAGAATGACATTGCTCTGTTGTGAGAAGTCCCTCCTTACACGTAGTCCTTAGTTCCTTGTGAGTCGCTGCTGAAGTGCTTCTCAAACTAATGTCAGGTGTGGAACTGTTGTACCTTGAAAAGCAGGGTTACAGTTGTCTTTTTGAAGGTCGTCTATGCTTCTTTATTTTACAAAGCAAATCATGGTGCGAGAGAGAATGTCACCTTTATTTGTGTTGGTCTGTATTCTTAAATATTTGAGTGTGGAAATGTGGGTGCTATGCCAATCAGTATAATAAATATATCTTCTTTCTTTAAGAAGGCATCAGCTGAAGAGGTACCTGATAACTCTGCCCTGTTACAAGATGCAAAGAAAGATGACAAAAAAGGTATTCAAAGAAATCACTTCCCCCTCCCACCCCATTATGGGTTAAGTTCTCTGTGTTAATAGTAATCCCATATATTTGCTGACAGAAGCAATGGTTATTTTAATTTCTAAGCTGGCTATGTGTGCTAGAGATTTAAAAGCAATGTCTTGCTTTGACAGCAGCTGAGTTGAAGGCAAATAAATGGATGTGTTTGCTTCAAAATTAGTTCTATCATACATGAATGATATGAAATACACCTTCTAAAATATGTCTAGTGCTAAGGCAATTAATATTGCACTTCTTACTTTAACAAAGTTATAATTGTTGTTATGAGGAATTTTGTAAGAGTAAAGAGTATATTGTGCCAAATTTTGGATTTCTCTTTTTGCAGGAAATAGCAACACTTTAAAATTAGTTTTTATTCCTATTAAAAAAAAAAAGTCCTGATATTTTCTCGCAAAACAAAAGGTTTGGACAAACTGGATTGAAAATACTCAATTCATTATTTCACTTAAAATCCATCAGCAGCAAGACGTGTGAAATTGAGGTGATTTTTTTCCTTTTTCCACTCAGCAGCTATAGGGCTTCTGGAATTGGCACTGGATCATCGAACAGTCATTGCCTTTTATATGCCTTTTCCCTGACCTTTCAGGTTCTTGCTTGCTTGTCCCTGTCCCTCAGCTGTGGAAACAAAGCAGTTGTGGGTATTTTGTTGCCTTATTCTCAGAGCTGTGGATTATATATTAATTTAAAAAAAAAATTATGCATCTTGGCCTCCCAGCTGTCCACGTGCTGAGGCTGTATCAGAGGCTGTGGGACCAGGCAGTCCAGATTCCTGAATCACCTTCTACACACGGGTGTGACCAAGTTTGGCAGATTTCCAGTGTCCCTCCCTGGTTCAAAGAAAGGTGGTCAAACTTGACGGATGTTTGTAAAACATTCTGACAAGTCAGCATATTCCAAGAAATTCATGTTTTGTGGACAAGGTTTGTTTTGTTTTAAAATTAGTAATGGAGGAGAGCAGGACTTGGACCTTGAAGGTTATTGCTTTCCTATGTCTAGGGCAGGTTTACTTTTTACTTGGGGAATCTTTTTCTTCCCTGTGTAAGTGAAAAACTTTGCTCTTGGTAGCTGATGTGTTAAGTCAGATGGGAAGCTGCTTTGGTACATGCAGTCCTTCAGGGCTGAAGATTTGCTGTATTTATGACACAGATTCCTGCCTTTTCAGCCAAAGAACAAATGCTCTTGTTCTACCATTTATTGCTATTCTGACAAATGAAAGAGCAGATCGCTCTCCTGACTGAGAAGATCTCCCCAGAAGGCAAGAACCTGTAGTTCGGGACTGTAGAAGCAAATTTTCCTGCGTTTTCAAAACTTTACAAGCAAATTTGCTCTACTCTGTCAGGCTATAATATAGTTAAATGTGGAAGATAGTGTAAATAAAACTGGGTCACAAGAACCAGACTTTTTCCACATGTTTTATTTGATAAAGGCAGCTAGAGATGAGAGACTTCAAGCTAAGCAGTCATTTAGAACACTGTATTACAGTACGTTAAAATACGCTACCGTGCATTAAGAACGCCTTTGGAAAGTCGTTAATAAAGGTTGCATGGGCATCGGTGGAAGGGGAATAAGCACAAAGGTTGGGATTTCCTGACTTTTAACCCTGGCTCTGTGCGTGCTGTATGATGTTCCCTGGGGCAGGCTGGTGAGGTTTTGGCTGCTGGGAGCAGCCGGTCTCTCGCGCGCCCTGGATTTCCAGCTCTGTAACTGGGGAGAGCCGAGTCGCCAGCCGCTGTCCCTGTGAGAGCGCTACATCTCTCAAACAGGAGTCCGTGGATTTAGACACCCAAACCCCCCATTTCTCAAAATTTGGGATTATTTGGCAATTTGGGCGTAGGCCTTTCTGTTCTTGATTTTGTGCTTGTAAGATCTGTTAGGTTTTTGAGTGCTTGGTTGTTCTGAGGGTATTTGTCTACTTCTCTTTTAGCATTATTAGACATTCTAACTAAATACTGGTTTAGATGCTCCTTTTATCAGAGCTGATACCTGTAGATTTTACCTGCACATACTTAAAGTAATTTTCATTGTTTTGTTTCTTTTATTAAGCTCTTAAAGTAAGCACTGCTCTCAAAATGATACCAAAGGAATTTCAGCACTTGACTGTGAAAACAGGTAAGAAGAAAAAAATTGACGCATTACTTCGATCAAATATTTTTGTAAAATCACTGTAAGCCTAAATTAATTAATTTTTTTAAGACCCTTTGCTCTCATACTGTTTTACTACTGAAATTAGCTTTTACCTCCTAATGACTACTACTTGCAAAATTCATCTTAATTAGTACTTCAGATTTGGTGTTCTTGCTTTTTTTCCCTTGTTGTTAGCATTTTTGCGTTCTTCATGTGTAGGAAATGTTTTTAACATAGCATTTTGTAAGGAGTCTGATGTTTTGTTTTTCTGTACCACAAATGAGATGCCAGAGCATGGATATTGTACCTCTTGACAAAAGCTCTTCTCGGGTATGAAATAAGTACTCAGTAACTATTCTGAAACAGCCCATTTCTTTGTAAAAACTGAGCTTTCATATCTTCTGTCAAAGAGTTTAAGGGTAGATAGCCTTTTGGAAAGACAGACCTTCTGGCACTTACAGCACTGACATAAGCTTTTGATTCAGGGGGCATTTCTTTGTTGAAACCACCCCTCATTTTTCTCTCTCCAACTCCAGCGTATGCTCCTTGTTCCTATCGTACTGGAAAACATTATTTCTGGAACGGCATATGTCAAAATTGCTTAGTTGCTTCAGAAACTTGCCATGCATTCAGTTCGGTTCACCAGACCTCCCTTGCCTTCCTCTTTGTTAATCTCTTTCCTAGAGCGGTAAGGGTGTTTGCAAGCCCTCCCTGGTCCCAGTCAAGCTAAAATCTGGACGTGCTTTCTTTTCCTTTTGCATAAATGTTTTTACTTGTGAAGATATCCTTGATGAAGAAAACTGACCCCACATGTCTGTCACAGCAGTTTTGTCTTATAGCTCAATTTATTTATGGCTGCCCAACAGCTGCATGCCTCATTTCCCAACTCCTTTTTTTTTTTTTTTTTTTTTTTTCCTGGCTTCTTCCCAAACACTTGGCAGCTGCCAGATTTCCTATCCTCAGCTCCTATTCTCAAATGGTTGCTGCTACTCCTTCTCTCTCTCTCTCTCTCTCACTTCCCTCTCAGGGGAAGAAGGAGGGTGGTTGCAAGACTTTCAGTTCCGTTCTCTTCCCTGACATTTTGCCCAGGAGCACCCCGGGCAGTTTTATTTTCAGTTCAGCAATTCCATCTTCGGTATGCTTAGGCAAAAAAAACCCCCCTGTCATCACCTGCACATCTTCTGTGTCACTCTCCTCTTTCCCCCATGTCCTCTTTCTCCAAAGCAGGGAGGTGTTCTGGATGGTGCTGTGCTCCTCCAAGCAGCGTTGCTGTGTTCGGGTACCAAGGGAGGCGGTGGCAGAGCCTCACCCCATCGTTGTGGCTCCTGTCGCTGTAGGGATTTCACCCTTCACTTTGAGGGTTTGAGCAAGCATGTTCTCAGGCTGCATGATGCAATTGATGTTAGAAGTAAAAATGTTGATCTGCACAGTGGGCTGGATACAGCACAGCAACGGGGTGGCTATTTCGGAATTGGTCATCGTTCTGAAAGGTCATTATAATCATTAACTGTCGGGTGAAAACTCAGCTGAGATAAAGCGGGAGAAATTTTTCGTCCTTCTTCGGTTGTTGACTTGGGCTGTGCATGTAAATTCAGGAGAACCAATGCTGCCATGGTTCATCATGAGAAAGTTTTCTTTGCCATCAGGAGGACTAGAAATTTGAGGTCGGTAAAAACTTTATACGCTCAGCATCTCCAAATATCTGGCCAGTTTATTTAAGCTCCTAAGTGCAAGATCATTGTTGGCCTTAGACATTGAAAAGATTAAGGGCCAAATTGGTGAGCGTTTAAATTGTACATTTCTGCCTAGGCCACCAGTAAGAGGTAACAGGTGAGTCAGTGCGGGTGATTTAAACTAATGGGGGATTCTTTGGTTTTTCCTTAGCAGCGTAGCACACTTGCCCCTTTTATGGTACAGTTTTCCCCCCGATAATCAGCCTGTAAAGCAAGGAGGCACCAGCTGAGTATAAGCCATCAGGCTACAGCCAGAAGTTACTGAGCCTGCATCTTTAGGGATGTTTAAATGACGTTGTATCGTGAGAGGGGAGTGGGAGCAGTTAAACACCCAAAATGGGAACCTTCACGCTCTCCTGTGGTGTGAATGAATAAATAAAGAGTTCATCACCATATATGATTTTAATTAGTGCAGACCAAGCTGTTCAGTTCATCAGGCTCTACTACTCCAGGAATTGTACAAACTTAAATAATAAATGTAATTAATTTACTCAACAGCTTTAATTTTATATCACTTTCATGTACGTTAGACTCATGTATCCATAGCAATAGAAATATGGAAAATTCATGAACTGGATAAATAATTTTGTATCATCTCAAATGATTATGTGGTGTGTGTATAAACCTGCATCTCAAACAGAAAGTACTCACAGCCTGAGCATAGCAAAATAACTGCACATTTTATGGAAATCCTGTCACAGTTATTTGTGTGCCCTAATAATGAACTACTTATTTTACAACATTTTTTTATATTATACTTTTTTTTGAAAGGTGAAGCTAAGTCTGGGTATTGTGTAATTGTGGCCTTCAATTTCTTGATTTTTCAAAAGCTTAAAAGAAAATTCTTGGCAGTAGCATTCTATTGCTATCGGGTTTTATTAGTAGTCATTTCAGGATTCTCTGTTCCTTGTGTGCTTTCCTGTTTACCTCAACAAGATGTCCTTGGAGAGTCTGAATGTCAGTTTTACCTGCAAGTTTTTAGAAGAAAGGCTTTCTAAAAGAAGTATGAACAGAATGACGGTCTCCATAAAAGAAAGAAAATCTGAAGGTTCTTAAGCATGGCTTAGCTTGGAAAGGATTTAGACTTCCTATTTCTAAGTGGCATATATTTAATAATTGTGCATGTAATTTAATAATCATCAACTTCAGCACTGGAAAAATTGGGTCATATGGCTGTAGGGAAGCAGTTTCTAAAGTTGTATTCTCTGGGAGTTTGACATAGAGAGAGGGGGAGAGAGGAGGATTATCACCACTGCATATTTTAGTAATAATACCCTCTCTCCCCTTCAGTTGCTAGGAAGAGTTTGTTGCACAGAAATCTGGAATGGCTGTGAGGCAGTTTGGTGGTGACAAAGATCTACTAGAACTTAGTTTATAAGTGGGGGGTTTTTTTGTGTCACTGCCAGCTACATTTGGGTTTGTTCCATCCAAAGCGCCAACTAGCACTGCGTGACCTTAACAGCAGTTTCTTTTATGAAGAAATAGTGTGTGGCTATACATGTGCCATATGCTGCTTCTTGTCTTCTGCGAGCCTAAAGCCTCCTATGGAGGCTCTGTGCAGCAGTACGGTGCAAGCCATTAGAAAAGTCAGTATTTGCCAGCTGCTACCACAGGTAGCACTCCTGCTCTGTGTTTCGGAGGATTTGCCGTATTCTTAGGTAGTGCTGTAGAGTAGCTGGTGATAAGTGTCTGACTTTGGAGTAGGCATATATCCAAAGGGAGCTAGAAACTCTCAGAATTATTTCCACACCCTCCCCCCCCCCAGCCTACTTGTTTAAGTGTCTGTTGTACCTTGATTAGCAGAATAGCGAGAAAAGTACAAGGATTCACTTTGTGTGTGCATTGGGATCACTGATGCTGCCGTGGTACCCTGAGGATATCTCAGTGGGCTCAATTTGAAAGCAATCACACAGATACATTTTCTCAAAATTATCTGATGCTATTAAAGAGGGTAACAGAAAAGTCACAAAAAGACTGTGTAAACCAAGGAACAGCCTTGAGGAATTACCCAAAGAAGGTAAGTCAGCGCTGTTGTTTTTCTATCACATAAAACCTGCATGTGGCAGGATATTTGGAATTAATTCAGAGAAAATAAACTGGTTCTTACATTGATAGAGATGCATTTGATCAACACTTAGCCTGTAAAGCTTTTTACCTTCAAATATCTTTCCTTCGCAGTGTCAAAGTAGTCTCAACCTGATGCGTTAATTTTTTTTTTGTGTGGTAAGAAGATGCATGGTTATGCTAATTAGTTAATGTATTTAGGAAGGACATAAACCTTCGTGCTTTGGGAAGGAGGACAGCTAATAGATATCTGGACTAGGAGTAAGATGTTTTCTGTGGAAAGTTTATGCTAATTCCTTGTGTTGCTTTGTCACAACTACATCCAGGAGTAGCGGTCAGAGCTGTCAGACCTATTGCTTTTCCTGTGTTCTGCTAACCAGACTGAAAGGTGAAGGTCTGACTGCATGCGGGCTTTTGAGTTCTTAGGTCATTCACGCACCACAAAAACAAAGGGGAAGGAGAAGCGAAAATCAATCCCCATTGCTCATGTGAGATGAGCACACTCTCACATCCACATTTGCAACACTCACGTTTTTAATGAGCACTGATCCATCAGCTAAAGGTGTCTATTTAAAATATGGTGGTTTAGCGTTTCTTTTTTTCTTTTCTGTTTCAGCTGCTCAGGAATCTAATGCACTTAAAGCCAGACCACGATCCAGGTACTGCTTTCATTTTTATTTCAGGAGAAGACGTATGTTCCTCTGGTGTTAGACTCAAGGTGTAAAAACTGGTGTTGCACTTCTAATTTTTTTTTTTTAATTGCCGTTGTGCTGGAAGTCCAGCTTAGCTAAAGGACAGATTTACCAGGAGAGATCTGTAGGCTACAGACCCTACGCAAGTACTGCCTAGAGCCCTGTGACCTCTGGTCATGAGGTGCCGGGACTTCTGCCTGCCCCCGCTGCCTTGTCGGGGGCGGTGACTGCCTGCAGCCCTGCCCCAGGGGCGTCGTGGCGGGACAGCGGGGACCACCCCGTGGCGGGCATCGTTCTCAGCGATTTTGTGCTGTCGAAACCTGCGCAGTGGTTGCACGTGGAGTGAGGCACCGTGCGCTCCCACAGAAATGGCAGTCGTAGGTCAGCTCTCGGCTGTGGGTGAGTGAATCCTGCGCTTGGCGAGCCTGTACTTGACTGTGGCCGGTTGGTGCGCGATGGAAGGGCTTATGGACTTACGCCGTTGTGCGCTAGAAATGGCACCTGCTGAATTTGGGTGTTTGGAAGAAAAGGGAAACCTGTGCCAGCAAATACTGTGTATAAATGGACTCCCTGTTGGGTTTGGCTGTTCGCCATTCTGCTGTATAGCCAGATAGCGCATTCACCTTCAAAGTTTTTTGGGGTTCTTTTTTTTTTGTGCTAGTTAGAGGGCTTCATTTCTTTTTCTTAGGTAATGAGAGTATAATCAGGAGCCCCCTCCTTACAAGCTTGTCAAAGCCTACTAATAAGAGAGGATCAGCTATGAGCGTGATGAATGAAGATTGAAATCCTCTGCTCTTAGGACCTACATCCAGGAAGGCTGAAATGCCTTGCGTGCTGTTTTTCTGCTGCTAGCCAAAGCTTTTTAGTTTTCACCCTGTTTTAAATTTCCTTGCTGTGTTACTGAATCAGAAATTGCAAACATGCAAAAAATGCAGAAAAAGCATTTTATGTAAAAACACATAAAATAGCAAATGCTTAAACAAGCTTGGAAAAAGTCACTTGAATGTCACTGCCATGTCACATATGACTGTCTCGCATCTGACTGTATGTCACTACTTCAATGCAGAAGTTGAGACTGAAGATTCCTGAGCACATCCTTGAACTCAGACCTTCTGCTGCACTTGTCCTGTGTAGCCTGAAGGGCTCTGTAACCTCAAGGGTCTCTTGTCTTCAGGTGTGCCTGGCCACCAGGGGCTACGATTGGAGTCTGTTACAGTTCTCATCTCTGGAGTCTGGCTTTCTAGCCTAAGCTGTGCAGACTCTTAGCTGCTGACTCTTAATTGACTTTCCGGTGCCAGGTCTGCCTGCTGCAAGCAGCGATTCACTGTCACAGGGCTCTGAGTTGGCACTGCTGGGGCAGGGATATTTTTGCCTGGTAGCTGCTATCTTATTTGATCTTTAAAAAAAAAAAAGAAAAACCTAAACTGTTAGGTCATGCAGTTTTAATGCAAGTAAAATATGCACCGCATAATATGGAAAGTAAAAGTATAAAACCTTAAGATCCCGGTTCAAAGCTTTCCCGTTTATTTCAGGGTTGTTGGGTTAGGTCTGATATGGGGAGGCTATGGAATTCGAAACTCTGCCAAGCCAAAAAATTCAGCATTAGCAGAGATTTTTGTGTCACATGTAGATTTTGAAGCAGTTATGGTTTTCACTCCTATATTTATTAAAGTTTACATCAGAAACATAGGATCAGCATTGCCAAATGTCTGTCCCGCTAAAGAGCTGTTTTCTAACAGCAGCCTGTTTGGCAAAAAAGTGATCCGTTTCCCATTAGTGGGAGTCATTTCTGTTCTACTTGAATGTGGTTTTGCTCTTGCCTGTCATGCGTAATGTGTTACAGTAAGTGTAACATCTCACATTGTCAGTGCTGATTTTGAACAAAGCTTCTCGGTCTTGCAGAAAAGCTGGTAACTACAACAGCCGAAAAATACTGAACGCTATTCAGAAAAATCAAATTTCTTAGCAAATGCACTGCATTGGGATTAATGGGTTATGGAAGGGGCTAGAAAGATGTACTGAGGCATGTATTTGACCAATGTCAATCACTTCAGAGCCATACAGTTTTCCTGGATTTTTGTGGAATTTGTGACTGTTTGCTATGAAAAAATTATTTTGGTAGTTAGAATATTAAAAATTACAAAATGTGTTCTTGCAAGAAGCAGGCTGAAGCTGTACCTGTGTAGGCACTACCCTTGTAGTTAGGAAAGGCAACAGAAACTGTAAGGGGGAAATTATTTTTTTTACTTGGGTTTATTCAAACTGGTTGCTGCAGTTGTCCTGTTGACAGTTAAAGTTCCGTAAGAAGGCCTGAAGCTGTGATATAAAAGGCCTTAAAAAATACTAGCCCTGTAAGATTGACCCGTGCCTTTCCCCAGACATGTAGGTTCCTCTGTTGCCAAATAAATCCGTTTTGTTGTAAGGGGGAACTTTTAGTCATTATGGCAAAGAATTTCCACCATGAACCTGAGCTCTGGTCAGTGTATTTTTAGGTACTATTCACTGTAGTCGTTTCAAATGAATTTCTGAAATAAAGTATTTTCTGCTTTTTTTCCTCCCCTGTTCTTCCGTAGGTCTTATTCTAGCACATCAATAGAAGATGCTATGAAAAAGGGAGAAGAGCCCCCTACTCCACCTCCGAGGCCACAGAAATCACATTCCAGAGCTTCCTCTTTGGATCTGAACAAAATATTTCAACAAAACGCACAAGGTAAAAGTTTGCTTTCTGTCCCCCTTTTGAGACCATTTAGATTAGCTGCATACTTGGCAGCTTGATCTTTGCACAAATGCTTGACGATATGTGCATATGCTCGCCTTTGCTATCGACAGCAATACGCTACGGAACAGAAGTTGCACTTTCTTGCATTACATCGCCACTGAGGGGAAAAAAATCACTGTTGCTGTAATTAAGGTGATTATAATGTTTTCTGGCACGATAATGGAAAGCGTAGCATATGGTAGTCTGTCATCACTGACTGTTTATAACTAGTCTGGCTGTTTAGACAATTCTCACCAGTAACTACAATATATTTGATTTTTATTACTATTTATTTTTTGTAGTTCAGAAGCAGGAAGAAAACCCTTAATGATTAAAATGGGAGAAAGTGGAATTCCTCGTGTGCAAACATTCTTTGGTGTTAAAGTCTTCCGTATGCGTGGGGGCAATCAGAAAGCATTCTTTGAGTGAAAAGGGTAATTCCTTGTGACATGGGTGCGTTTTGAGGGGAGAGAAGGAAAATGTAGAACTGTAGCTGGAATGAACTGAAAGAAAACGTCCCTCCAGCACGTCAGTGTTTGAGCATTCCCTTTGCCGTGCTCGGGGCGCGGTGGGAAGAGGAGCTGGCTGTTCCGTGCAGCCGGCACCCAGCATCGCTGTGCTTTAGCAGCGTCCTTGAACCAGAACAGAGCTTTACACGGTGCACACCAATCATCTGACTCAAGGACTAGGTTAAACACGGTCATGTTTATGCTTCAGAAGAAGCCAAGGTTTGACTGTGATGAGGAACGTTTTAGCTGGGCTCTAATGTGGTTGTTGGAGTAGAAAGGAAAAGTGTTTCACCTCTTGCTATATGGGACTTCTATTTTGTGCAAACACCGAGAGAGAATTCTAGAGTCCTGCTATGTGTGCTGAACCCTGAAACTCAATAGGAATCAACACTTTTTTTTTTTTTTTTTTAATGCCTTACATAGCGAAGCAATCCCTGATCTTTGACTGTGATTCTTGTTCAGGGATCTATTACCTCCAATTCCGATTTAATTATACATCAAAATAACAGCCCGAACAGAGCCAAGGACACATTTTCTAAGGCAGCAAATCCTCTCAGAGTCCAGATTAAAAGTATAACTGGAAGGAAATAAATTTGGATTTAAGTTTCTCTTGGAACACAAACGAAAGGAGAATGTAAATTCTCAGAGAAGTCTTTCTGTGAATGAAAAGTAACATCTTGCTTTTGAAGTTGATCGTTTTGAAAGTCACCGTTACTTTTGAAATAAAGTAACAATTTATTCTGGGCAGCTTAACAAACTGACAGTGTTATAGTGATTGCAGGAAAGGATAACTTGTCCTACCAATACTTTTTGGAGGATTTCCTCACTGGAAATGGGGCAATTAAGTAAGGATAGGCAGTTGATTGCTTGCAAAAAAAAGAAAGTGCTTTGGTCACCCTAAAACTGTTCATCATATTCAGTTCAAAGTTATGGCTGCTTATAGTTGGAACAAAAACTGGCTCTGAGTTGACAAAACCTGAAGTGTAGCGTGCTACCAAATTGCAGAAATGTGGAAGGTCTCCCAGAGGTTCAGCTTCCTCCTGTGTCTGCGGGCTGTTGGCCTGTCACTTTTTGGTCTCTTGGATGTCCCCTGATGGCTATGCTAAATATTTATGGTGGTCCTCTTCCTCTGATGGAGCTGTTCTATTTTGTGTCAAAAGTGTTAGTACTCACTGGGAAGGAATAAAGAGGAATTTGTAGCCTTTGAAGGGTTCAAGGAGGAACTTGTTTAACAATTTGTAGCCCACCTCAAAGAAGGGTTCCAGTTTAAATAAATCTGCATTATCAGAAGGAAGGGATTAAATCAATCCATCCCAGAAGACCCAAGTACCATGGTGCATTTACCTTGCTCTGAAGTAAAATGTCTGCATTGAAAGTCGTATTTTCAGTTCTTTGTTGAAGAAGAAACATGCTCGTGCTCTTCCCTATCATTAAGCCTTGAATATTTGTTATTCTGCAACATCCTATTGATAAGGTGACTTTATGCAGCTGCTTTCTTTTCTTCTACTTCTCTTGTTCTAATCACTTTTTTTTTTGTGCTTTTCCCTACTGATCTTGCTTCTCAGGAGAAATTACAGTCTCGCCATTTTTGGATACCTTTTTCATCTACAGACAGCTCTTCCTCAGGGGGTGGTCATTGTTTCGGAGCCAAACTCTTCACCGAGGTGCACTTTGGACTTTTTAGAAAGGCAGTTTGTAGGAAGGCAGAAGGATTGAGCACTGCCACCTTAAACCGAAGAGCCTCGCTGAAAAGAAAGTGTCTGTGCGTGTTTGTGTGAAGTAAATTGCACACAGTTGTATAATAACAAGCTGTATTCTTATTTCTGCTGACAGCAGAAAAAATGAAGTTAGAATAGTTTCCATCTGCCATCAGAAGATACGGTTATGGATTTACAGTATAGATGACGTAGCGGCAATGTACTATTTAGGTTTCTTGGCTATCGGGATAATACATCCTGGCATAAATATCGAACCTGATGTGTTTTTATCCACAGGTCAGTTGATTACTTTCTGTCCTGTTGTGCTCTCGACTAATTCTTTGCTATATTTTTTCTCCCTGCTTGCCTGCCTTCCTAGGGTTTCAAAAATAGTCTCATTGTCACAGCTGAACTACAAACATTAGCTAGAATGACCCTCCCTTCTAGCACCACCATATTGCCTAGTGTCGGTACAGAAAACCAGACTGTAAAACCAACCATTTTAACAGTTAATTTTAATAGTTTTCAGGGTATACCCATCTTGATTAGAATAATCCCATTTCGGTGCATTAGTTTTTGTCCTACTAATTCTTGTTCTGAAATAATTCTAATTTGGGGAGTTTGGTGGATATTCTGCTTCCACATCTTCAAAGGAGGGCTCAGTAGTATTGAGTTTTATTTTCAGTTCTTCGTTGGTCATGTTGATCTACAGGTATCACTTCTTTAATTGTAAAGCCATCAGTGGTTTGGAGCCTTTTTTAATTTATTTCATTTTTAAAGGGCAGAAAAAAAAAGTCTCTTTTCTTCAAGTAAATTCAGCCAAAGACTGTGGCAGATCCTTGTTGTGGGCACTATTTTTTGGGGGGAGTGTTTCTGTTTGTTTTTCATTTACTGTTGCTGTATCATGCTTGCCCCCATCTTACGATGCCCCTCTCCTGGCAAGTATACACAGAGAACGTTGATCCGTGATGGCTGGGATGTCCAGCAACGCATTAGCCACAGAAACTGTGCTTTGAAATTGTTGAATTGGGACATAACTGCACTTAAAGGAGGCACCTCCATTCGTACTCCATAGCTGCACTCTCCTGGGAAATTGTACCTAGTGTTACCCAGGAAAAACATAAATAACCAAGAGAACTTACTGAAAAGCCTCACCTTCTGTAATGTCCATACGTGAATTTCTGTTAAGAGACAGAAGTCTCTTCTGTCCTTTTTTTTTTTTAATCATGTAGTCTTTATGTTAACATCTGAGAAAAATTCAGTACTGCTAGAATCTCAATGTACTACTTTTTCTTGAATATATAATCTCTGGCATTTGGCCTATGTACATACTGAGAAAATACTTGGCTAGGTTTTACGCGTTCCTGGAAAGACAACAGCAGGCTTTAAGTTGAAACAAAAATGTCAGTTTAAATGCATACATGACCTGATTTACATCTTCATTTCTTCTCTAGCCCGCTGTCTAGTCAGATACAAGCCAAGAGCTCCCAGAGTAAGACCTGGGAGCCTGTGGCCAGAAAAGCTTTCCTGCACTGTTCATAAAAGCTGTTTGCAGAATTAGTTGCTCTCGGTGGCTCCTCATGCTCCCTTCTCTCTGTCCTGCTATCTGGGTACAGGAGAGGGTATTGAGGGGGCCAAAATTGCCGCAGCTCGGAGCCCGGCAGTCCTGCAGCAAGGGCCCCAGCCACCTTTTACCCTCAACAGCAGCAGTAAGCTAGGGTCTGCCTCGGGGTAACTCTGGGACTGGGGTAAGTCCCAGCTTAAGTATTAAAACCCCAAAATGCATCCATTGTCTTCTGGCGTTTTGCTTGGTTACATTTTCTGCCCGTGACAACTACTAAAGAATTTACTTCTGGGCCATTATAGGCAGTGAAAGCAGTCTGGGTCTTGCTAGATTGATACAGATGCCTCTGAAATATTTCCCATTTAGTTTCATTTCTGAATTGCGTAACTTCATTTAATTAACAGTTCTGTTGAACAAAGGATACCTGTTTGGAAAAGAGGATTTGCTTTGATGAAACACCAAAATTGTCATAAGCAGTGTAGTTTCATGTTGATATGGAAGCAGACTGAGTATCTCTGGGTAATTCATCAGAACAGGCATATAGCTACTTACAAATGAATTTTTGACTGAAGGTTTTCAGCGCTCATTTGCTTTTGAAACTCACCTCCTGCTGCGGCTGTCCCTGTGGTGAAGAACGCGTGGAATGCAGGCACCATTTCTTACCACGGCTTGTAAGCAAACACTCACTGTAGCCCGGATTCCCTCCTTCAGGGGCGCTGGTTTCAGCCAGCAGCGCAGGGCTGGTATTTTGGGGGGTTTTCTGCCTTTTAAAATGTGAGGCATTAAGTACCACACTTGGTACGGGGGAAAGACAACTGGCATTTTACTGTAAGCGCAGTGTTTTCTGTTGCGGCTGATGTTTTCGTAACTACAGTCAGATCTGTAACCTCGACTTATCTCTGCTGGGCTAGTGATGGGATGGCTGTGAAACAAAAAAACGTCCCCTCTGCTCTAAATGTAGCGTTCGCAGAAAAGGAACACAGGAACAGGTTTATCGGTGTGCATCAGCATTGCCCTGAGGGATGTAAACGTGTCCCCACATCGCTTCTGTATTCCTTCATATACACGTTTCCCGCGCAGTTGGAAGCGGTGCTGTCATCGTAAGACTCGGTCAGTACAAGCTTCTTACAGCACCCTTTCATTTTCCTTGGTGCTAGAGGAAGACTGGTGTTCAGCATCACG